AAATTGTTGGAATGGGACCAGCAGTTAGAGTAATGGCTGTCGCTGAACTCCCATATAGTCAACCACGGTTCAAGTCCCAGACCCAGTGACTTAAACTAACACCAGGCGTGTGTGCGTGCATGCCCAAGATCCAAGAGGAGAATGGAGGACACAGGATTGTGGCGTGGCCATCCCCCCTTGGGGGTGTGATTTCTCGCTTTCTGTCTCTCTGTTTTTCTCTTTCTGGCAAGTGTTTGCATCCTACAGCAAAGACTTCTCAAAAAAAAAAAAAAAAGCTGGAAAGAAATACACAGTGTGTAATAATCACAAAGCCCTCCAGACACTTAAGACATTGTTTCTAAATGAATGAGGCTAAGGCGTTATCAAACCTGCTCTAAGGGAGGGGTGCCCTTCAGGAGTGCTGTACACTCAGCCCTCTCTCTGAGGGATTTGCCAAGAACGCATCTGTACTTGCTCATTAGGTGAGGTGGCTGACTGCATGAGCTAGTGGGTGGGCGTCACAAGAGGAAAGCACCTCACTAGTTGGGGGACAAACCGCACTGGACGCCGGACACCGAAAGCTTCGATGCACCAGGTGGCAGGTCAGCGCCCCATACTCAACGAGGCCGTGCTACCTGTCTTTAGAAACCACTCCAGCTTCCCTTCGCCACTCCTGGGGCAGTCCTAGTGCCACGCACTCCAGTTAGGAAGAAGAGAAAGAGGCATGAGAAGAAGGGAGGTAAAGCTAGAACCTGGCTTTGCGTTCTCCCGAGTTTAATCCACACCCCTACACTCCAATTTACAGCAAAAATAAATTGGTGCATTAACCTAAAAGGAAAGAAAAAGAAATCGAAATGACCAGATCCATTCAGCGAATCAGGCACAGGGGAGGAGGGAAGGTGAATTTGTGGGTCGTCATGAGGAACCTGGCTCTGAAATAGCAAAACTAACTTACGCTAGTGGAAACAACAGCAATTAAGGAATAGCCTGGAAGTGCTTGAGACTGGAATGAAAATAGGAAATTGTGCTCATAGCCAAGTGTCTTTAGAAAGGAATTCCGACGAGCAAGCATTAGAAATAGAGCTCTCCCTCTTGCTGACTCACCGGAGAGCCTCCGGCAAGGTCCCCTAAGTACGTGGGGGGCAGGACATGGGCAGTCAGGATCGGAGCACACAGAGGGGCAGACAGAGGTGTAGACAGAGCTTAGCACATTTTTACCCCACGCGAGAAAATCGTAGCCGTTCTAACGATCATGAGGAGGCCGACATGCCCAGTGTCTCAAAGCAAAGCTAAATGTCAGACAAGCCGTAAATGGACAGGTGACAGGAGGAAGCCAGGGGCGGGGCCGTGGGATGGGTGCCACTCGGGGCACAGGCCACGAGAGAGGGCAGTCACACTGAGGGACGGGAAGGGAATGCAAACGGTGATGCAAGAGACATGTGACGAGGAGTGAAACCGGGCACGGGCTTCCACCCCGTGTCCGCCATGCGCTCCCGCCTTCGCGAGCTCTCAGAGACCCCATGCTGCGCTCTGTGCAGAGTGTCACCGCGTCACACAAGTGGGTTAAGTCTTCCACGTACTCAGAGCGCCGGGCGGGGTCCAGGAGCTGCCTTAAAACATGGAAACAGACGCGACACCATCTCCCGAGTGCCACCTGACAGAGCTTCCTCATCATGGCCCAGTCATGGAACACATGGAAAGAATGAGTCTCCCTTTTCATTAAAAAAAAAAAAAGATACGAGTTTTATAAACCATTGAACACATCCCACATTTTCACATAGAATCTCACGATGGCTCATTTCTACTTACCTACGTCTCATGTTGGCAATTAAAAAACATAGTTTTAAGTATTAGAACTGTTTGCACAAAATTTACTTTTAAAAAGATATTTATATAATTCTGATATTTCCTTTAATAAGACTGTTAAATTTATATAAAATTTGTGAAATGTAACTAACAAACTATTCAAAGTTTATAGTATATTATTAAGAAAGCAAAATCAATTAAAATGGAGAATATAGACAATTTAAGCATATGATTAGAACAGAATACCTACGTATCTCATTTGAATGAAAGGGAAGAGAAATATCTGCCCGAATCACACCTCATCCCACGTCACAAACGAGTGGACCCTCAGGAGGTAGCGCAGGACCGACGCTCTCCAGCAGAGAACTTGCTAGACACCAGAAACACATTTCCACTACCGGTGATACTTGAGTTTTTTGGATCCATGTTTAAGGATGTGAGAGACGGGGAATGGGAGAAAGGGAAGAAATGGCATAATATTATTTCCTGATTGTTTTGACAGGTATTTTAATGGGTCCACTGGAAGTCACCTCGTGGGCCCTGGCTTGCTGGTGCTTCCATACCCAGCTCACTTTCCCGCCACGGCCACGCAGGTGCTGGCACGGTTACGGAGCGGAAGTCAAGGTCACCCACGTCAGCATTACGAACGTTAGAATCCACAAAATTAATAATTAGCATGCACTTTGGAAGAAGTAAAATGTCTTAATGACTTTAGACAACACCTAAATAAGCCTGCCTACATATTCAAATGGTCACCTTTGTACACCCTCGAAATGGCAAGAATTTTAGTACCTCCTTAATACCATCTTTCAGCAAAACACACTTGTGAAAAAAAATTATGGAATTTTTAAAGCAAGCCACCTTTCCACTCTGTAAGGGTTTGTCACAGTAGCAGGACGGACGACACGCTGTGAGCTGGCTGACCACAGTGCCAGGTGGTCTCGTCCGTGGGATGTGAGTAATCAGTAGCCACACCCTGCAGGCGCCCAAAGTGCTGAGAGGCTGCAGAGTGAGTGCTGACCTTTAATCGTTTTAGCTGAGACAAAGGCGTGTTTATTCTGCTACGTTTGTGCTTAGCTGGCATAGAGACTTAGCAAAGATGTCTTCCTTCTGTAGAAACTGGTGAGTTTGTTTGGGAATTCAGATAAATACACTTTTTGGTTTCTCAGTATTATGAGTTTAAAATACTCTTAAATAAAAAATAAAATAAAGATCTTTGCCTTTTGTAAGAACATGTTTTATGTATGATTGAAGTTTTACAACACTCCGAAAAAGCCATCCGATGTTAGATTTAAAAATAAAATCAAAAGCATTTTCTGACATAGTACACATGAAAAATTGGAAATCCCAGTATCTTCAGTAGAAGTTGTAGAAAGTGTACGTCTCCTTGGAGCTGAGACCCACTTAACACAGCAGAAAACAGGTCTGTACTGTAGACAAAAGGTACAGTAGAGGGCAGCTGTAAATTTACACAGGAATAGTTCATGAACATCTTGGTCTTTCCGTAACAGTTTTTATATAAAACGGATAAAAAACCTGGAGGCGGCTGTCAGCACTCGCGTTGGACTGCTTCTCACTTATTTGCACACAGACACACTGACAGAGCAAGGTACGGACGCACCGTGACATGGGTATGAACGGGCTACTGCCTGCGGCTGCGAGTGCACACCCGCAATTGTCCGCAGTTGAAACACGCTTACACTATGCGTCTTGCCACGTGTATCTATAAAAACATGAAAATATAACTTTACATTATTCTGTATGTACAGTAGTTTACGCTTGACAAGAAAAACCGATAAGCTACAGTTTTAGAAGAGTGGGTCCAGAGGTACAATAAATAGTATTGATGTACATCATCAACTTTTTTGTTTTTAAAATCTCGTTTTAAGTCCAAGATGGAAACAGTTAGTCTGCAATTTGGTCATCCTACAGTAGGGGTCACTGACGCTCAGAGCGCACTCCGCACTCCTGGGGAGGGGTGCACTGGGCCCTGGTCTGCGGCTCAGCCTCTGTGGCGAGGGGCGCTAAGTGTGCCGAGGAATCCCATGCTCCACTTGCCTCTGTGTTCGGAACTAGAGGGTCCTGCTAAACCCTGGAGTTTTCCTTCCCTTCTGCGGAAGAGTCAATAGGGGTGTTGGAAAGCACTTTGCAAATGCCAAGTGCAACCAGAAGGCTTACTTGAAGAAATAACAAGGATGCAAAAGTTAAAAATAACTATTAGATGTTAGTTGTTACTTAAAACCCTAAAGTAATTTGCAGGGCTTTAATGAAAATAAGACATGTATTTTATGAGGGGAAGATAGCTCCTTTAAATTCACAAATCAGAGAAACACAAGTTCTTGCTCAACAGGTAGAGGAAAGAGGCATTCGATGCTCATGGGGCATCGTGGGCCAGCCGAGGAGCAAAGTAATAATGTAAGTAACGCCAGGGCCGCTTCCGCTCTGGTGGTGGGGACAGACTGCACGCTGGGTGACTGGGGCTTCCGAGTTTCCATGACGTACAGGGTTTGCAACATTGGTAAATACAAGGCGTAGGACCATTTTAGAGTAAACCCTTGTATTAGTTTAAGAACTTGATCAATGGGCAGCTCTCTAAGAGCTGCTTTCGAGGCAGTTCTGACTTTAATACAACTATGACTTCTCTTCTGCAAGCTCAAAGGCTTAAAAAATGGAACCTCGCATATTCTGATTTTTTTAACATTAGCTTTTTAAACCTATTAGCATTATCTACATAGAGTAAATGCTTCTGTGTTAAATATTTCTTTACATCTATGAAGACAGACTTATCACAGATTGGAGATTATTTGGGGGTAAGTTTATACTTGAAAAATCTCCTTTTCTTAAAAGGGGGGCAATTTTTCTGGTAACCTAACCTCTTGGGAGCGTCTTTAAAGTCACTGGATTATGACCAAACTGTAGCTAAGCAAAATTAATGGGACCACTTGCAAATAAAACAATAGAAAATGTTTATTTCCAATGTCAAGCATTGCCAAGTAATTGTATATTAACACCAAATGTTAAAGAATAGGATACATTAAAGTTTTAATAACATTATTAAATTACAAGATTGGAATCTTCTCTTTGTTTTCTTTCCTTAGCATTTACATATTTGGCTTCGAAAAATACGGAACTAACACCTAAAGCCTTTCCCTATCACCTCCCACTCCACTCAATGGTATCTTTTTCTGTCTCTCTCAACCAATATGGAAGCAAATTTATTTAAAAGCCAGTTTGAAAATTTCTAAAAATATTTTTTTTATTTTAAATGTTTTTTTTAATTATTTTTCTTATAAAACATGTCACGTCTCGATGCAGTCGATGTCGGGGTGTGCTTAAGTCATTACGAGTCGAGAGCCCTAACGACAGGGGCTGCAGGACAGGCGCCTGTGCAGACCTCGGGGCGGTGATGCTTCCACGTCAGCTGTGCGTGTCCGCCACGCTCCGTCTGTGTGAGTAGAAAAGGGTGTTTGCTCCTCCTTCCTCACAGTGCGAGATGAACTCCATGCACTCGAGAACACTTGGCTGCAAGAAAAGTCTTCGAGACACTGATGCCTCTCGCCATGTGACAGCAAACGCACAAGGAGACCACGTGTAAGGCACTCAGAGATCAGTCACACGGACACTCATCCCATGCCAGGACTCACGGGAGGGACGGCATGCACGGCTTTGGGAAACGTCCGCCTTCTCCAGCACTTCCTGTAACTGACAGCCTTGCCTTGCTCCTCAGGGCGTCACTCAAGGTCAGCTTAAATGAGACAGGAGGGAGAGAAAGAAAAGGTCAAACGTTACGGTTTTCCAGCACCTCCGAGGAAAGGCGGTTTCTGAAAGGGTTACTTCTATCTGAAAGCTTCTAGCAAATGAAAGCGGACAGTGCGAAGCTGAGCTACAGGTCAGGAAGCACAGTATGGCGGGGTCGGTCCACATTCACCCAACCACGGAGCCACTTAGGGGATAGACAGTTGAGCTGCAAGTTAGTCACTGGTCGGGAACACGGAAGAGCACCAACAGCACACACAGGACGGTCCGCGGACGCCTTCCTCGTACAGAGCTCACGGACGCGACAAGAAAGCTAAAACGTGCACTTAGGAGTTTATTAGAGCCTCGTTCCTACCCCCTAAATTTTAACACTCTCGATGCCATAGACGTTGTAACCTTCCTTATAAGTTGCAAAATTCTGTGAATTCTGCGAGGAAGATGGGTTAATAGTCTGCGTGTTCTTTGCCACCTTCATCCGTTTGGCCTCGGCCCTCGACTTGTAACAGAACTCAATCAGGGCCACCAGCATGGCCAAGCCGAGGCCCCCGACGAGGATGTAGAACACTCCTGCCACGTTGCTCAGGCTCAGGGCGCTGGTCTTTTCCTGGAGAACGCACACAAGAGGGCGGTTAGGCGGGAACGGGAGGGCACGCAGCATCAGCACAGGGGAACCCGTCGCACGGGAAGTGTGCGATTCGAGAAACAAGGGGCTCTCCTCTTAAACGGTCCGTTTTGTGACAGTTAGCATAGACAACGTCAATTTATCTACAGACTTCGGTGGACTCAACCGACTACCTGCAGGGAGTACACGATCTGTCTTCCGTTTCTTAAACGTTTTCCGGGCTATGTCAGTTGCAGCGTTAAACTGACAGATCTATCCGGGCACCACGGGAAATTAAAGATACAAGACAGTGTTTTATCCTATGAATAACTCAGCTAGGCGGCCAGCACACGGGGTAACACAGCCGTCGCTGTGGTTGTGGGGACGAGGCTGTGTTACCGACCGCGGCGTCGCTCAGCGCAGTCCCAGCGGGAGGGAGCGTTCCTGCAGCCCCTCGACATGCAAAGGTGCCGGGGAGGAGCAGGCGGCTCTCCACAGCACTCGGCCCGGTGGAGAGGCGGTGCACCCTCGTTCCGGGGAGCTCTTGGAACTGGCTAGCGTTGCCGTGTACCCTGTCTGGCCCCCCGGGCTCCCCCACTC